AAAACTTTGTTTGGAAAAGTGTAAGTGTGAAAAAAGTTTAATTTTGAGCAAGTACCTACTAGCATCTACCTACTCGAAAAAGAATTGTTTCTATTCTCGTTTCCTTTAGACAGCGCTACCCCACTATTAAAGAGTAGGTAGCACCGTCGTTGGAGTTGTAAGGGTTAATTCGAAAAGGGACGTACGCTTACTAAAGCAATGTTAGGACGTTTTAGTAGTAACCCTAATGTCTTAAGATCATATTCGAGGCAACATTTCTGAGGCAACCTTTCCGAGGCAACATTTCCAAACGGGATATTTGATCTTTGTTTAGACAGGAGAGCGACCACTAAAATACCTTATACTTAATGATCGTTTACCGAAGGCAACCGAAGTTAGAGTATACCCTAAGAGTGTGCATGCGCGAGTGTTTTGATTTCAAATTATTATCTTTGCACATTAGGGTTTGCTAGCCATTTTAAATTGTCATGCAATCTTGTCATACAATCCTATTATCATACATCTAACAGTTAATATTTACGAGAATTAAAGTGTGAGAAATAAAAACCTACGCTATTACAAGGCTTTGGGGGAGGGATTAATTACATAGCCAAAAACCCGTAGAACGATAAAATAAAAGAAAACCCTAATTAAACTATTACATACCGTAAGCAGTTACATTAATATGGTAAAAATAAATGAGCGCGCACGAATCGAAACGAGAGAATTAGGGTTTTGACCCCATCTAAACCTAATTACAACTTAAAAAAGAAAAATCATTGTTTTTTTGGTTTTTGATTATTTGAGAAAATAAGGTTTAATTGAATAAATAAAGAAACCTAATTACTAATTAATTTAAATTAAGAAAAATAATTAAGTCAACTTATTTTTTGTATTTTGGTTTTGAGAAAAGAAAATAAAAATTAAGTCAAAAGCAAAACCCTAATTTTTCTAATTGATTTTTAATATATGAAAAGAGTTAAAATTAATCCTAAATTAAAACCAATATAAAATTAAATTTGATAAAATAAAATAAAACCTAAATTCTAAATTGGTGAAATTGATTTTACGATTTTTTGGGGAAAAAAAGAAATTGATTTGTGGTTAGAAAATAAATTAAACAAATTAAATTAAATAAAGAAAATTAGAAAAGAAATTAGAATGGGCCTGGTGTTTCAGCAAAAAAGGGGGGGGGGGTTGATTGAACTTTCTGAGCTCAATAGCGCCTAGCCCATTTGACTTTTCCAGATCTCATGTTGCTAGCTTGACTGGGGTGTATTGTGGATCCTCATGGAGAGACCTTGGATTTGGCTTCTTGGGATTTGATAGCTGAAAGCTGATGACGTATGGTGGACTTTGTGGGTCGCCTATACACCTGATTAGGTAATGGAAAATAATATGGAATAATATGGGGATCTGGGGATCGAACCCAAACCCTTAGGCGTTTTCCCAATGCATGATGACCATCTGAGTTGGCTTGGCTTTTTGTACATGGAACAACAAACAAGCATTATATGGAAAAACAAAATAATAATTATCAAAATGCACGAAATTTTGAATGGGCAAATCAGGGAGTGCCACGCTAGCCTTATTCTTCCTCCCACTGTTGCTAAAAGTTCTGTAACTTTTACCTACGGTCAAGGGGTGTAGGTATAACCCTGGGCTTCTCCAAAATCCTATATAAGCGTGATAAATGCCAAACAATGGTACCAATCAACTCGTGGCAACCTCACGAGCATCATGGTACCCTTATCCATGGCCAATTATACCTGTACAGAAACACCCCAAAAATGAACCAAGAACCCTAACTATGGCATCTTGATGTATAGTCAGCAAAAACAAAATTAAACATAACCATCAGTTTGCAAACATCACAAGGATTAAGAATATATAAATTTTTCGTGCTAAAGATGCCAGAATCATAATATACTAATTCAAAAAAAACATGAAAGTCGTGGGACTCTTACAGTGCATTTTTGAATGTTATGAGGCTTGTTAGTGATTGGAATAGGATCCTAGAACGTCCAGCAAACGATTTGTGTGACTGGAATGGCTTGAGGAAGCCTGGAATTGGGAAATCAGTTTACAACTTTTCTTGATTTTTTTGAAAGTTGCTTTCACCTTTGCACGCCTCCAATCTCCTCGTTTCTGATTTGCAATCCTTCCTTATGTATCCAAGAATGAATTAGAGTTGCAATTTGGTTTCAAATCTTCTCCAATAATGATCATTGATTCATGATTTGATTCTTAGTGAAAATCTTTCCAAATTGAGAAAATCCAATATTTTTGTGTCCATTTGAAGCTTGCACGATTTGATTCCATCTCCAGCTGTATAATAGACCTAAACATGCACAAAATCTCAAGCTTTGATTAGTTTTTGATATTTTCATGATTTTATTTGATTTAATTGAAATAAAATCAAAATAAACGACAAAAAATACAAGAATGACAAATGGGAAGGATCATGGGTCGTGGGTCATGTTGAAAACTCAGTGCAAGTATAAAAAGTTGGGCCCATTTGGCAAAAATTGCAATTTGAGACACCTTTGACTTTTGGCAATTTTGCAAAAAAGGTCAACTTTGCCAATGCATAACTCCTTCAATTTTGACCCTAGAGATGTGTTCTTGGACTTTTTAGAAATCTTAAGATGTCCTCTAGGCAACCCTTTTGGTCTCATCTCAATTGAGTCTTCCATGTTCATGTATGAGACTTTGACAAAAATGATGTTTTTGTTGACTTTTCAAAATGACCTATAATGTCCAAATTTATATCTTCTTGTGAGTGCATATTTTGAACTTGGGAGCTGAATATGAATTGTAGAGAATTACATCCTCTTCAAAATTAGTTTTGATGGGTCATTTTTGATAAAGTATGAGAAAGTTATGCTTGGTCAAAGTTGAGTTGACTTTTCTTGTAAAACCCCAATTTAGCAACTTTTGGGTTTTGATGAATTGTGAGCAATCCTTGAGGAATCATGAGCAAACCTTGATCAAATGATGAATAAAGCTTCAAAATGAGGATGTTGACCAAAAATCTTGAAGTTTGACTGTATGTGGGCCACAGTTGACTTTTGCCCTAGCATAGTCGATTTCCAGGCCTTTGAGCAATTGACTGAGCAAACTTCCTCTACAAGGCTTGAAACTTGACATGGATGATCTTGAGAACATATTAGGACAATGGTGAGAATTTGGGATCCTTTGGACTCAAACATCTTGATGCAAACTGAAATCCTAATTTTAGGTAGACTGCCTTAGGAGAGAGTTTGTCTGGTCAACCCTTGGACTTCCTTGAGCAATTTGAGGACGTCACTTGAAATATATTGAGAAATATGGGAGGGAAAATTTTGGGGTACAAAACTATGGCATGCACAACAGGCTACAGTGATGATTAACAGGTAGCCCATCACAGAGCACGTGCTATGAGGGCATATCTTTTGTATCTGGTTGACACGCAGATTTTTGTGGACACTAATGTCACTTACACTGATATCATGTACCTGCGGTTCTTTGACGATTTTTCAGCAGATTGTTGAGTGGAACTGGGGGGAAACTTGTTTGGTGTATTTTGAACAGAAGTTGTCTGAAGGCATTAAGTGGAATACAAAGCAGATGACCGACAACATCATACTTTTGACGGTAACATTTCTTATTTTTATGTAATTTTGTCTATTTATGTAAATACTTTGATGTCGTTGCTTACTAATGATGGTAACATTTCAGGTCTGGATCTTACAACACTTCCCTCATATATTCAAATGGTCACTTAAGCCTACATATACCAAGGTTTAGCCACGTGTCACTTTATTCGATCCACTCCGAGGGAACCAGGCGACATAATCGTTCAGGGTGTATATAGACCGCCTGACCTATGAGGATATATGCTTCCATGCATACGAGGCTCACCGTGAGACGGTTCCCTTTGACGACATTGTGTTGTTCACTAGGTGGTTGGCATGAAGGTCGTGCAAGACGGCTGCTTAATTGCCTGAGTGCGTGATGCGGAAGTTCGGATACATGCAACACATTCCTATGGTGAAACAGAGGGATATGGATGACATATTTGATGATTATCTTAACGATCTCGTGTCGGGTGAGACCCGGAATATCATAGCACTAAAGGATTGGAGCTTTGAGGATGGATATATCTTATGGTTCTTCAAGGTGTCACATCTATATTTGGTACAGGAGGCTCCAGGTAATCCACCTAGACCAGCACATGTGAATCTTCTAGAGGAGGAGCAGGCTAGGACCGATCATGCTCATGATGTGTTGCCTAGGTGTCTTCGTATCATGGAGATTGCGCATGCGGATATTGATGGAGATTTATTTCCTGGTGGCTCTGATATTAGAGGTGTTCTAGATGCCATCATGGCGGAGACTGTGGAGGCTATGTGTTATAGACGACAGCGGAGGAATGTCGTGAATATCACGGGCCGACTCATTATCTGTTATACTCAATAATCTGATAGTTTTAGATGCATTTTGTTTATAGTACTATTATATTTTTCATATTTTGGATTATTTGGATAACACTTGGAGGAATATTTTGCATATCGTATTTTGAAACATAATATTTATGAGCATTTGTACGTATTTTGTGATTATTTTGTATTTAATCGAAATCGTATTTTACTACGTATTTTGTAAATGTATCAAAACCTGCATAGTAATATAGTCTAAAGAACTGTAGTTGCATTTCTGATTTCAAACATGATTTTTCAAAAAAAAAGTACGTCCCAAAAATACACCTTGGGAGAGCATTTTTAGTTATTCATAAAAGTTTTTTCTCCTATCTAAAATGCCATAAGAAATTCTCTAGATTTTATCAAAAAAAAAAAAAAGGACAAACAAGAAGGAACAAAAATAAACTTGTAATATTTTCCTTCATCTTCAAAATGATTGCACAAACTATTTTATTACATTGCTTAAGAGACAATACATGGTGTTAATATAAATATGTCTTCTTTCTTTGTTTTCATAGCTAGAATCCAAAACAATCCTATATATCCCTATGTTTGAAATCAAGGACAAGATGGAGGACTTCGTCCAGGCCCCCCAAAATAGAATACAGGATCTTTTCCTTGTTCAACATCATTGAAGTAATTGTAACAGTAAGGTTCATCAGCATGTGTTGTTATAAATTTTGGATACTTGAGATATTTTGAATAATCCTTAATTCTCACATTGCTCATGTAGCATGCACGCCCAAATCTAGTTGATGCTGAATCACCACTTCCCATCTGTGTTGAAGTGTGAGGAGGCTTTTTTTTCACCTTATCACTATACACTTGTCCACCCCATTGAACAATTGTTGCACTGTGTTTCAAATTACCCAATATCTCTTTTGGCCAATAACCTATAACTGTGCCATTCTTTATATTAAGCCACCAGTTCCCACCCTCATCCTAAATCATGCCAATAATTTATGGAAGAAAAAAATAATTAGTATTTCTTTTATTACATTAAGATAGTTCAATACAAATATGTGAATAATATGTTATCATTACCGAATATATTCCAATGTTGATTTCATATTGTTGGTTATATGGGGATGAATAAGGTCTAAGAGTAGCACCAAGCGCTGTACTTGAGGCTATATGCACAAATCCTTTACAAGTAAGATCAAAGCAGCCTGTTGTATGGTATGAATCTCTCTGCACAACAATCAAGAAACCAAAATTCAGGTTATTATATGAAAATCCAATAACACTGACACCTCTGAACAAAATGTGTCTGGTGTCAATCTATCAGTATAAGGGTCGTGTCTGATGTCTGTCTGTCGGTGTTTGATAATTATATAAAACAACTACAAGAATAGAAACGTACAGTCCAAGCTGCAAACAATCGAGAGTTAGAGTCACCATATAACTCGGGATGAACCTATTCCATAAGATGCATAGATAGATATCATTAGGCAATATTTAATCATATGTATATATAACATAAAAACCACCAAGAAAGTAGAGGGATCTCTAACCATCCAGCCTGCTTCAATGCTTTCAAAAAAATCACCATTGCTAGCCTTAAGGTATATTTGAGCAGTAGTGAAATCTCCTTTTTTTTCAACATTTGGATTCCATATGTTAATATTTGCTCTTGCACCTATAAAATTGAACCCAAATGTGGAAAGATGTATTTCCTGCATGATCATAAACTCACTCATACTAGGACTAATAAATTAGTTAAATAAAATCAACATGTATATAATAATTTTAATATTCGTAATTATATACCGAGCGATTTTGTAGATTAACATAATCATCGATAACACCGAGGATGGTGGAGTTAAGATTTGTCTTGTTGGTTGAATAGATTTTAGGTTTTTGTCCAAAGCGTTCGAGTGAAGAAGCTCTCAACAAGTCTTTCTTCTGAATTCTACGAATAGGGACGGTATCTTTTGGACAACTTCCACTTTTCTGCCATAGCTGAAACACTTCCGAGCTTGCGTTGGGGGTACCACTCATGCTTGAAGGTTCATATTCAAGAAGAAAACTAGGTATTGGCTGCACATGATGAACAATATCAAGTCTAATACCAAAGAATCAAAATTGAAAGCTATGTGTTATGCAAAATTTACCTTGATAGTATGATTTTTTAAGGCAGGATGGTCAAAAGCAGGTTGCTTGTAAATGTTGACACAGTCAATAATGTCTCCATCTTCACTCTGAAAAACAAAAACACACTGATTTAAAAATGTGTAGTTCTGATCATTTTTATAGTTAATTTACCTAGAAGGGAATATCAAATTGCATACCTTGATGGATTTCACTGCAGGTTTGTTGAGAAGCTTCAATTTGGTTTCAATTTCTCTATCTAAAGATGAAGATGCTCTTGCTTCAACTTGTAATTCTATACAACACAATGCAAAAAACACTCCAAACAACAATGTTGCAACCTTGCATTTTCCCATTTCTCATTCAATAAATTTGTAGGAATTCAAGATAAATAAAATACATATTTATACAAAGTATTTTAGTGTATAGATGAGAAAAAAGACAATAACAATAACTATTTTCATATTTTTTTTGTTTTATTTTATTAATTTTTTAAATTTTAATGAATGATATTGATATCTTTTATGTGATTCTTTTTGGAAAAAAATATGTTTATTCAAACATTTATCATATTCATTTTATAATGAAGATATTTATTTATTTACAAAATCTTTTTATATTATCACATTATGTATTTATTATTCTGTCCCCTCCTTTTCAAATTCATTTTTGAATATAAAAAATGTTTTTATTTGACTGTTATAATTTATATTATAAAGACATGATTAGTTATTATATTTTCTTATTTAATCAATAAATGTAACCTTTTATATCATCCATATTTCAAATCTATTAATGCTTGCATTAAAATAATTTGATGAAAATGTTTCAGTCAAACAATATATATATATATATATATATATATATATATATATATATATATATATATATATATATATATATATATATATATATATATAAAAGAATGGTATTTTTATTCTCACTTAAATGAGTCATGTGTTATTTTCATTCTCATTCAACTTTCTTTCTTCTTTACTATCAAATTTATTAGTGTTATTGTTATTTTCATTCAATTTTCTCTCTCCTCCATTATGAAAGCAAGATTTTTTGAGCTTATAACTTATAGACATATATGATGATAAAAATCTTGTTTAATAACTATTTTTTTATTGTAGGTTTATAGCTTATTTTATTGATTTGTAATTTATTTTTTAGACACTATTTTAAATAATAATTTAATTTATAACTTATAATTTATAATTTTTCTTTTACTTTTTTTTCCTTATTATTTTAACTAATACTCTCTACTATTCTTTTTAATTTATTTTAATTTTAAATAAATAATTATATATTATATGTTTTTCATGTCATTTTAATTTATTAATATATATATATATATATATATATATATATATATATATATATATATATATATATATATATATATATATATATATATATATATATATATATATATATATATATATATATATATATATATATATATATATATATATATATATATATATATATATATAAAAGAATGGTATTTTTATTCTCACTTAAATGAGTCATGTGTTATTTTCATTCTCATTCAACTTTCTTTCTTCTTTACTATCAAATTTATTAGTGTTATTGTTATTTTCATTCAATTTTCTCTCTCCTCCATTATGAAAGCAAGATTTTTTGAGCTTATAACTTATAGACATATATGATGATAAAAATCTTGTTTAATAACTATTTTTTTATTGTAGGTTTATAGCTTATTTTATTGATTTATAATTTATTTTTTAGACACTATTTTAAATAATAATTTAATTTATAACTTATAACTTATAATTTTTCTTTTACTTTTTTTTCCTTATTATTTTAACTAATACTTGCTACTATTTTTTTTAATTTATTTTAATTTTAAATAAATAATTATATATTATACGTTTTTTATGTCATTTTAATTTATTAATATATAGATATATATATATATATATATATATATATATATATATATATATATATATATATATAGATATATATATATATATATATATATATATATATATAAAAGAATGGTATTTTTATTCTCACTTAAATGAGTCATGTGTTATTTTCATTCTCATTCAACTTTCTCTCTTTTTTACTATCAAATTTATTAGTGTTATTGTTAATTTCATTCAATTTTCTCTCTCCTCCATTATGAAAGCAAGATTTTTTGAACTTATAACTTATAGACATATATGATGATAAAAATCTTGTTTAATAACTATTTTTTTATTGTAGGTTTATAGCTTATTTTATTGATTTGTAATTTATTTTTTAATACTATTTTAAATAATAATTTAATTTATAATTTATAACTTATAATTTTTCTTTTACTTTTTTTTCCTTATTATTTTAACTAATACTCGCTACTATTCTTTTTAATTTATTTTAATTTTAAATAAATAATTATATATTATATGTTTTTCATGTCATTTTAATTTATATATATATATATATATATATATATATATATATATATAATATATATATATATATATATATATATATATATATATATATATATATATATATATATATATATAATATATATATATATATATATATATATATATATATATATATATAAGAATGGTATTTTTATTCTCACTTAAATGAGTCATGTGTTATTTTCATTCTCATTCAACTTTCTCTCTTCTTTACTATCAAATTTATTAGTGTTATTGTTATTTTCATTCAATTTTCTCTCTCCTCCATTATGAAAGCAAGATTCTTTGAGCTTATAACTTATAGACATATATGATGATAAAAATCTTGTTTAATAACTATTTTTTTTATTGTAGGTTTATAGCTTATTTTATTGATTTGTAATTTATTTTTTAGACACTGTTTTAAATAATAATTTAATTTATAATTTATAACTTATAATTTTTCTTTTACTTTTTTTCCTTATTATTTTAACTAATACTCGCTACTATTCTTTTTAATTTATTTTAATTTTAAATAAATGATTATATATTATATATTTTTTATGTCATTTTAATTTATTTATATATATATATATAAGAATGGTATTTTTATTCTCACTTAAATGAGTCATGTGTTATTTTCATTCTCATTCAACTTTCTCTCTTCTTTACTATCAAATTTATTAGTGTTATTGTTATTTTCATTCAATTTTCTCTCTCCTCCATTATGAAAGCAAGATTTTTTGAGCTTATAACTTATAGACATATATGATGATAAAAATCTTGTTTAATAACTATTTTTTTATTGTAGGTTTATAGCTTATTTTATTGATTTGTAATTTATTTTTTAGACACTATTTTAAATAATAATTTAATTTATAACTTATAACTTATAATTTTTCTTTTACTTTTTTTTCCTTATTATTTTAACTAATACTTGCTACTATTTTTTTTAATTTATTTTAATTTTAAATAAATAATTATATATTATATATTTTTCATGTCATTTTAATTTATTAATATATATATATATATATATATATATATATATATATATATATATATATATATATATATATATATATATATATATAATATATATATATATATATATATATATATATATATATATATATATATATATAAAAAAGAATGGTATTTTTATTCTCACTTAAATGAGTCATGTGTTATTTTCATTCTCATTCAACTTTCTCTCTTTTTTACTATCAAATTTATTAGTGTTATTGTTAATTTCATTCAATTTTCTCTCTCCTCCATTATGAAAGCAAGATTTTTTGAACTTATAACTTATAGACATATATGATGATAAAAATCTTGTTTAATAACTATTTTTTTATTGTAGGTTTATAGCTTATTTTATTGATTTGTAATTTATTTTTTAGACACTATTTTAAATAATAATTTAATTTATAACTTATAACTTATAATTTTTCTTTTACTTTTTTTTCCTTATTATTTTAACTAATACTCGCTTACTATTCTTTTTAATTTATTTTAATTTTAAATAAATAATTATATATTATATGTTTTTCAAGTCATTTTAATTTATTAATTAATTGAGCCATTAATTTTATCGAACACTTTAATTAGTTTATTAATTATAAATTATTTGTCCTCAGCTATAAAGTATAAATTATCAATCATCAGTCATAAACTATAAACTATCAACTAATTTATCAGTCAACCACTATTTTTTATCGAACAGAGTCCAAATATTTTTATCAAACAGAGTTCAAATTTAATTTAATATCCATAATCATTCTCATTGTTTGCTCCAATTGATGGGGATGAGAGGAATTTTTATTAAGTGGATGGGATGTGAGGGAAAAGGGAGGGGAGAGATATTAATTACATATATGTTTGGTTCAAAATATGAATGGGAGGAGATGGAAGAAATTTTATTTACAAATTAGTTTGATGAAAGGTATTTTAAAACTAATACACTTTTTTATCCTTTTTTTTTTTACCATAAGACTCAATATATTAACCACAAATACAAATTTATTGACAGAATATAAATATTTAATCCGAGAACATCATAACTTTTTTTTATAAAAATATGACAATTATAATATATAATTTTAAAAAAATTATCGAATACAATAAAATCTAATAAAAATTATTATAAACAAAAACATCACGATAATTAAAATGTAATATTAAAATATATAAAATAAAATAAAATAATTTTAACACATAATGATAATAAGATGAAGATATAAAAATATAAAAAATATAAAAGAAAGATAAAATTTGTTCAAAGTAGAACTTTTAATATTTTAATGAGTTAAATTTATATTTAAATAAATAAATAATGGTAAATATGTATATATACTTGTAATTAAAATGAAACACATCCCCTTCTCTATAAATTCCCCCAAATTGGGGGAAGCAAACAGTGATGCATGAGAGATTTTGGTCCCTTCCATCTCTCTCCGTCTTAAAATTTGAACCAAACACATACATTCTTAAATATTCTCTTCTCTCTTCTCCATTTACCCCAACCAAATAGACTCTAAGGATGGCAATAGATAAATTGGATGGATATTGATTGATTTGCTAATGGATGAATCGAAACAATCATTAATCCATTAACAATTCACCAAAACTTAGCTTAAAAATATTCTATTCAATTCATCCATTAAGAATAAAATTCACTCATCTATCCATTAACATATTTTTAATGTATTGATAGTTATCCATCAAAAATTTAATTTAAATTATTCATTGATTTTTTTAAAAAATATTATATATAAAAAAAATATTTTAATAATTTTTTTTACGTTTTAAGAACAACTAAGGTGTAAAATATAGGTGCGTCACATTTTATTTTATAAAAAAAATATACTATCTATTCCTTTGTTTGAGCTGACAATCAAGGAGAAAAGTTATGATCAACCCTTCACTTAAATTCCTATAACTGTATTTTATTGATTTTTTTATTATTTATTTATCTTGGTTGAGTTGGCAACCAAGGAGAAATATTTTTGCTCATCGCACCTTTGAATTCCATAAACTGTATTTTAGCTTTTTATTTATTTATAAAATTTCCAGTTAATACCTATTCCATTCGGTTGTTCTGGTAATCGAGTGAAAAACTCTTTTTTTTTGTTTATGATTAACATATCTTTGTCGTTTATTTATAAAATAACAACGGCCAAGACATTGATAACTCATCAATTCACATTAAACAATAGTGATTCATATGAAACCCACACAAACCAATTAGAAAGTAAATACCACAATGATTTATCTTAAAATGAAGAACGCAAAATGTTGAAACGTAAACACTAATAATGAAAACACACTAATAATAAAAGTATTGCATAAAATATAACATAATTCACTGGGATGGGTTGTAGAACAGTGAAATGTCTCAAGGTTTATTCCTTAGTGTATCTGTTCTTGTAATTACTGAAATTATTTTCTTAAATGACTTATTTTTAAAAATATTTGATGTTAGTTAGAAAAGCATAGATGAAAATTAGTAATGTTAGTTGTTGTTCTTGTTGTTCACTACGCCAAAAACGAGTTTTGGCACCGCTACATAGACAGCGCTTATGCATAAGCGCTGCTGTAGGTATTAAAAAAAAAAATTAGACAGCGCTTATTAAAAGCGCTGCTATAGGCCTTATCAAAGGCAGCGCTTTTTCTCCCTAAGCGCTGCTATAGGGTTTTAAAAAAAATAAAAATTAAAAAATTAATAAAAGCGCTGCTAAAGGTGTAAGTCTAAAAGCGTTGCTAAAGGGGGGTAAACCTAAAGCGCTGCTAAAGGGGGGTACCTTTAGCAGCGCTTCTTGAAAGCGCTGCCTTTGTGTAAATCTAAAAGCGCTGCTAAAGGGGGGTACTTTTAGCAGCGCTTCTTGAAAGCGCTGCCTTTGGTTTGTTAATTTATTTCTAAACCCCTAACCCCTAAATCAGATTTCCAGAAACACAAAATTAAACCCATATCGCTGTTCATCTTCTTCTCCATTCGTCTCCTCCCAAACTCCCCCTGTCTCACTCCATTACTCCCTTTGTTCCGTCATCTCTCCGATATAACTCCCTCCGGTAGTCATCCAAGCATTGAAGAAACTTCCTTCCCAATCTCCTCCACCAGACCAAGTTCCCGGAAGCACTTCTCTTATTAAAGTCATTAGGAGAGCACAAGCTGCGCAGAAGTCACGGGGGTGACACTCATTTAGCCGTTGATCAGTTGATTTTGGGAATTCTCGAGGATTCTCAGATTGGAGATTTGTTTAAAGAAGCTGGCGTTGCTGCTTCTAGGGTTAGATTAGAGGTTGAAAAGCTTCGTGGTAAAGAGGGGAAGAAAGTTGAGAGTGCTTCTGGGGATACTAATTTTCAAGCTTTGAAAACTTATGGGAGAGATTTGGTTGAACAAGCGGGGAAGCTTGATCCTGTTATTGGACGTGATGAAGAGATAAGAAGGGTTGTTAGGATTTTGTCGAGAAGGACTAAGAACAATCCTGTTCTTATAGGAGAGCCAGGTGTTGGTAAAACTGATGTTGTTGAAGGGTTGGCTCAGAGGATTGTTAGAGGTGATGTTCCTAGTAATCTTGCGGATGTTAGGTTAGTTGCTTTGGATATGGGTGCATTAGTTGCTGGTGCTAAGTATAGGGGAGAGTTTTAAGAGAGGTTGAAGTCTGTTTTGAAGGAGGTGGAAGAAGCTGAAGGAAAAGTTATTCTTTTCATCGATGAAATTCATCTTGTTCTTGGTGCCGGTCGAACTGAAGGATCAATGGATGCTGCTAATCTTTTCAAACTTATGCTTGCTCGTGGACAACTTAGATGCATTGGTGATACAACACTTGATGAATATAGGAAGTATGTTGAAAAGGATGCAGCCTTTGAAAGGAGGTTTCAGCAGGTTTACGTGGCTGAACCTAGTGTGCCCGATACTGTTAGCATCCTTCGCGGGCTTAAAGAGAGATATGAGGGTCATCATGGTGTTAGAATTCAAGACCGTGCTATTGTTGTTGCAGCTCAGTTGTCTAGTCGGTACATAACTGGTATGCTCTTTATGCTCTATTGATGTTTCTTTCTCTTGATGTTGATTACTTATGTGTTGGATAGGCTTGATTGTTGTTGTGGTTTTACTAACATGGTATATCTTTGTATTTTGTATTTATTAAGGGCGCCATCTTCCTGACAAGGCAATTGATTTAATTGACGAGGCATGTGCAAATGTGAGAGTTCAACTTGATAGTCAGCCGGAAGAAATTGACAACCTTGAAAGGAAGAGAATGCAACTAGAAGTAGAGCTTCATGCTCTAGAGAAAGAGAAGGACAAAGCTAGCAAAGCCCGTCTAGTAGATGTAAGTACGGGTGCTGAGTTTTTCTTTTTTGACCGTGAACATGTATTCATTCATTGATTGATAAATAACTCGCTTAATCAAATTTTTTATAGTACAAGACAACATTTCTTTCTTGTGTATTTGTAGTAATTCAATTATTCTATTTGTTGATGCTATTTGCAGGTGCGGAGAGAACTTGACGATTTAAGAGACAAACTTCAACCTCTGAAGATGAAGTATAGCAAAGAGAAAGAGAGGATTCATGAGATTCGAAGGCTGAAACAGAAACGTGAAGAGCTCCTCTTTGCACTACAAGAGGCGGAGAGGCGGTATGATCTAGCCAGAGCTGCAGACCTATGATATGGTGCAATTGAAGAGGTGGAAACTGCAATAAAAAACCTTGAAGGCAGCACTGATGGTAATACCGATGAGAACTTAATGTTGACAGAAACAGTTGGACCAGACCAAATAACCGAGGTTGTTAGCCGATGGACAGGTATTCCTGTGACTAGGCTTTGGACCCTCATTTAAACAAAACAGGGGATGTTTGGCACATATGTATTGAGGTGCTTTCTGTGATACTGCCTGTGCCTGATTATAGCCTTTCCATGGTTTTTAATTGAAATTGTTGCTATATGCTTTGTAGCTTACTTAAAAAAAGTACAATTTGTGCAATTATCAAGTACCTTTCATAATTGCATAGATAAATAACATTTTTTTTCTGTCTATTTGAGTATAAATTTTGTATATTTTATGCTTTATTTCAAGTGCATTATTCTTGTGCCAAAAACTTCTCTTGGCTAGTCAAATGTGAATTCTATTTGCCTTTACTCTTATATGTTCTGACAATAGTGGATGGAAGTATGTGAGATGTCTTTGAGTTGAATACCGATGCACCTCATTAAAAGCTTTGAAAGTAGTTGGAATCAAACTTCATGCAGTCTTACTATAATGATGATATAGATAAAATTTTCCATTTTAAATTTGATGAGATTTTTTCTCACCTTTATGATATTAAGCAGAAACTTACATGGGTAAGGAAATACATTGAAGAAGACATTGCGTATTAAAATTGGAAAACATCAATTACTGTAATAGCATCTTCCGTTGTCGAAGATATCTTTACCTGAACTTTTGTTAGTTTACCTTACACAAATTCTAGATAATGCTGTTATATTTTAGAGGCTGATGTTGATGCCTGTTGAGCTACAAGCTCGTTGGCTCCATATTTTCATTTCTTCCATTTTATGCAAGTTCAATATTGCTCCGATTATGCAGAGTTAGTGCATATTTCTATTACAAAGCTCCCTAAACTCCTCTCCTCCCAAATGTGAGTGTACGGCTCGCTTGTATATGATCATTTCTCCCCTAGTTAATTCAGTTAGTTACAGCACTGACAACTGTTGCATGCTGACTGTATTTGTTTATTAGTGTTAGCCCGGTCTATAAATATAGAAGAGGGACTAGGATAACTTCTAGTTTTCCAAGAGGAAGACTTTAAGAACTAAGAACTCTTAATACACTAATACTCTTCTGCAAGCTTGTGGTGGGTGTGATTCTTGTATGAAGGTAAGATCACACACATTGAGCTTGGACCTCATGAATTCAAAGTTCGTAGGAAAAAGAGCCTTGGTGAGAATGTCAACATATTGATAAGCTGTGGGTACATAAACTACTTGCAATTGTTTGCTGTGAACTTTTTCCCTTGACAAAAAATTGACCAGGCTCGATAGTTCATATGTTTAGTCCTAGCATGCGGAAGTAGATTACGAGCAAGAGAGTTTTCTCTCAGTTTACTTGATCTTATTGCTGAATGAATATACTCTTGTGTATTCAATTTGTAAATGTTTAAGTTCATATTGATTTGGCCTTACTACCTAATTTCTTTTTCTAGTAATTAATTTGTCGTTGATAATTGTAGTTGCCACTAGATCAAGGAGGAGGTGAGGGTAAAGCTATGTACATAGATGCTGAGGGAACATTTCGGCCTCAGCGACTCTTACAGATAGCAGACAGGTATAATGATTCTTTATATTGCTTTGTTGCCCTATGTCTGTGAAATTATATATTCAATATTAATGTTCCTTAATGGTACAGGTTTGGAATGAATGGTGCTGATGTATTGGAAAATGTCGCTTATGCTAGGGCGTATAACACGGATCATCAATCACGGCTTCTGCTTGAAGCAGCTTCAATGATGGTTGATACAAGGTGTGACTTCTGATGGTTCCTTTCAAATATGCATTATTATGTCAGACTAGCACTATGACCAGCTGAACTGGCTCTGTTTTATTTTCCTTTCATTCTTTTCTATTAGGCCTTAAGCTGTATTGTAAGATTTACTTTACTAGTGATGTTTGATCTTAATTTGGTTATGTGCTTTAGATGCCAGAATCGATATTGAGGCTTATGTTTTGATGGCTTATACACAGGTTTGCTCTAATGATAATAGACAGTGCTACTTCTCTCTATAGGACAGATTTTTCTGGAAGAGGGGAGCTTTCAGCCCACCAAATGCATTTAGCGAAGTTCCTGAGAAGCCTTCAGAAGTTAGCAGACGAGGTAAACAGTCCATGTCAGGCTTGTTCTGCACAAATTTCTTTATTGTATATAAACTGATTCATGATTCTTAGTAAACACATACAAATATACAAATCATTTGGAGCTAATAACTTGTTTTGATTGTCTAATTGTAGTTCGGCGTGGCTGTTGTCTTAACAAACCAAGTAGTTTCACAAGTAGATGGTTCTGCAATGTTTGCTGGACCACAAACCAAACCTATTGGAGGGAACATTATGGCTCATGCAACCACAACAAGGTTAGCTCTCAGGAAAGGAAGAGGAGAAGAGCGAATCTGTAAAGTGATTAGTTCTCCTTGTTTGGCTGAAGCCGAAGCAAGATTTCAAGTGTTAGGCGAAGGAGTTTCAGATGTTAAAGACTAACCAATTATAGCATTGTCTGAAACATTGAATGTTTTTTGTTTGTTTGTTTGGGCCCTTTTGCTGGTTGTAAAGGATGATTTGAAAGAATCCAATGTCTAGTTTGCAATAATGTTCAATTTTGGTGGTTTTTGTTTTCTTACCATTGTTCTTTTGGCAGTCGCTTTGCATTTTGTGATCATGATAATTGTTACAGTGTTGATTGTGTAGCTTCATTGAAATTGAGAAACTATTGAATGCAATTGGCAATTGACATTTAAAACATGCACTATGTTTTGAAATAAGAAGATTAGAATTAAACTTTGTCAATATTTATATTTTAGATTTTAAAAATACTCTCTTTAAAACTTACAATTGTGTGGGGGCACAATTAATAAAAAATAATAATAATAAAACCTCATTATGCCTCATTAAAATTTGCATGATGAGACTTTCTGATTAATAAAAAAATAAGGAAAAGCGCTGCTAAAGGGGGGGGGGGGGGGGGGGGGGGGGTAATAGACAGCGCTTTTCATGAAAGCGCTGTCTAAAGTGATTGAAAAAAAAAATTTTAAAAATAAGGAAAAGCGCTGCTAAATGGGGGGTAATAGACAGCGCTTTTCATGAAAGCGCTGTCTAAAGTGATTGAAAAAAAAATGAGGAAAAGCGCTGCTAAAGGGGGGGGGGGGGGTAATAGACAGCGCTTTTCATGAAAAGCGCTGTCTAAAGTGATTGAAAAAAAATTTAAAAAAAAATGAGGAAAAGCGCTGCTAAAGGGGGGTAATAGACAACGCTTTTACCAAGCGCTGTCTAAAGTGATTGAAAAAAAAGCGCTGTCTATACCTTTAGCAGCGGAGGTTTTAGCAGCGCTTTTAAGCGTTGCTAAAGGCCTAAAAAAGCGCTGTCTAATCCCTTGTTTGGCATAGTGGTTGTTGTTAAAAATATTAAAATTCAACAACAACAACAACTACTACTACTACCATGGTCGTCCCAAAAAATCTGGAGGCCACTACTATAAAACACGCAGACAACAACGCCAAAGTCACAATGGTTTTTCCAAACACCGTGGTGACATCTCTAAACTCAGGCGCAAATATTTTTTATTTATGTTTTAATTAATAATTGTTAGAACATAATAAGAGTTATTTAACTGACCGTGGTGATAAATTCAAACTCGAATGGGTTCAAACCTCAGTTAGCTCAAGTATTTTATTCATTTTACATTAAGACACATCTTTTGTTTATTTATTTATTTTTAAATAAAAAATAAAAGGAATAACACAACGGTTGGTTAGTTCCACCATTGTGATATATTTTGTTTTTATTTAAATTTTTAAATGGCTAAACACTGATGCTTTTTTTATGAAATTTTATTATGCAAATATTATATCATTACGGTTTAGAGTTTGGACCGTGGTAGTGACTTTTTAAATATTATACAATTCTAGCTAGCTTGTCTCTCCAATTTCCATTTTTCCACTGGAAAAATAAACAAGACGAAACAACCTTAACCTTCAATACTGTGAAACGATACACGATTTCAACCTAACACCATTGTTCACTGTTTATCGTTCATTTTCTGTTCAATACTTTGATATTGTCACCACTCTTTATCGATCATTCTCGTCGAAGAGATTGACAACACGAACACCATCGTCATCATCGGGAAGGAAGACAACACCAACACCATTGTCATCGTCAGGAAGGAAGACAACACCAACATGATATTCTCCTTTACTTAGTCATCACGTTTATGGCACGTAAATTTTTGTTTCTATGCATCTACAGTAAACTTCATTTGTCATTGTTGTGAATGTTGTTGTTGTTAATGATAAAAGAGGTTGTTGTTGTTGTTGTTTTTTTGTTGTTGTTGTTGTTGTTTATGTTGTGGTTGTTTTTTATGTTCTTGATGTTGTTGTTGTTGTTGTTGTTATTTTTGTTGTTGTTGTTTATGTTGTTGTTGTTGTTTTTGAACATAGATGTCGATATTGTTGAATTCTTCATCTACTAGCGAAGAAACTCATACAAATGATTCTTGTACAAATGATACTCAAACAAAAAGATCACAAAGAGGTGTCACAATGATGCTCCAACTCAAAAAAGTCTGCAACTCATGTGACAAAAAGTCGATCGCGTTTGATTCGTTCTACAGAGTAGTTGACTGTGAATATTACTTTACTTTTAAGAATTATATTGTGTTCCTTGCACGTAGCAAAGTCAGTATATTGATAGATGATTAAAATTAAGTGCCAAGTGATATCAAAGATAGCATATGAACAGACGTTAAGGTAATAATTTTAATTTTCATCTATTCGATTTCACTTTATAGATAGCTTCTAATACATACTTATTAATTTAAATGTAGTTGAGTTTTGAGTTTACCGATGACTCAAAATTGAAAAGAAAAAAAAAGTGGATCACTTATGTCGGTACTTGTTGGAGGAGCTTTAAGTCACAACTCACACTAGACTACATTAGGAAGCCTAAGCCCGATCTTACTCGTCCATGGATAAGATACAGTTTTATATCGAAAAAGCAATGGAAAAAGTTTGTGAAGGACCATCGTTCTGAGAAATTCAAGGTTAGTAGTCATCATATTTATCCGATAATTTTATGCTAATAAGTTATAGATACTAATCATATATATTTTTCACTATGTAAATAACATGCTAAAACAGAAATAGGAATACAAAACAAGGTAAAAAAACAAGTTCCCCCATAGATTGTCTCGTGGGGTTTATAGAAAACTTGAGAAAACAATTATGCTTGAAAAAAAAATCAAGAAACGGGAGATGACCGCATACCATCTCCACCGTCAAGACATGATAAGTGAAAGAGGACTCAACTAAGACCAAACGGAGAGTATACCTCAGATGCGTTAAGAGTAGTTGGTGAGAAAATTTAAGTATGATTTGTTTTGATTATGTTATTTGTTATTTAAATGCTTTTGTAACAATATATGTAAGTTTCTCATTCTGTGTAGGATAAGTTGGTTGTTGCGGCCCGTGAAGACACATTTATTCTAGAACCACGACACGATATACTAGTAGAAGCTATTGAAACAGATGAGCATGGTGGGCGTGTTTGTGGTGTTGGAGAAGATGTCGGCATGAGGTTATACTTTGGTTCTACAAGAAAAAGCATCAAGAGTGTGTAGTTTCATGCACAAAGAGAAAAGATTGAGAATTTTGAGAAGCAGTTAAATGAACAAAGGAGGATGTTAGAAGAGAAGAAGGAAACATGGAAGAAAGATATGAAAAAGTTAGAAGATTTATATATGGTATGTGTTTTATTTGAGATGCTAGTGTTTTATCGAAAAAGTATGATATATATATATATATATATATATATATATATATATATATATATATATATATATATATATATATATATATATATATATATATATATATATATATATTATATATATATATATATATATATATATATATATATATATATATATATATATATATATATATATATATATATATATATATATATTGTGTTTATTTTGTTTTATGTTCTAATTGAATATTATAATGTAGAGAATAAGTGGAAACATCGACCAACATACAAATAATGAAGATCAACATTATGTTGATGGTGATGATGATCATTTTATAAGTAGAAGTGTTGTGCGTCTTGCTAGCACCAAAGGAAGTAATTTTTCACCCCTTTCCCCCTCCAGATAACTGCAATGAGATAATGACCCACCGCAAATGAGATCACCATGATGTACTTGAGCATTGCGGAGATGAATGAAACTCAATCTCTTGAGCTAGAACATTGTCCATCAATAGAGTTCTTCTATTATAATCTTGATGATTAAGGGATTTTATAGTTGGATATAAGTGGCTGGATGTAGGGATATTACAAGTTTGGTGCACGTAAGTATATAATTGAATATGCATGTCATTATAGAACATTATCATTTTTTGCATTTCATCCCTTAATTTTTTAATTTTCTTTAACCATTTAGGTACACTCACCGTGTTTGTATAGAGTTAAATAAATAGAATATTTATGGAATCTTGGATCTATTTTGGATTCGATGGACATATAATGATCCAAAAGTCATTGAAGAGTTCATGAAATAAAGACGGTTAAATGAAAGAAGAAAAATGTTACTTTGCAAAATTTCTCAATGAGTAAGTAATTTTGTAATTGATGTTTATCTATTATATATTTAGTTTTAGTTTAGCAAATACTAATTAGTAATTATATATATGCTCGTATTTATTCAGTGGTCATTGGCAGTTAATTATCATATCATTTAGGACAAATACGATAGTTACAATGTGTTCCTTACATTATAAACTCGAAAGGAGAATGAAAGTTATTAATTGATAAGTGTATGTTTATACTTTGGACTTTAAATTAATATTTTCTTTGACATTGTAACTAGTTTATCGCATAATATGTTTAATTCATTTTCAATATACAATATTGTGTAACGAGTGAATATCATGCACAATGTTAGAAGAAAGCCCTCTTGGCTCTTGCCTAAGGTAAGTGGCCCAATTACCTGTTTCTTTCATTTATTCGTGTAATTATTGCTTAATTTTGTAGACGAAGAAACAACCAGGGAGTTACGAGTGATGGTATTATGTCATGAAACACATGTTAAACATTATCCTTGTTGACATTGTTGATTCATGGGATAAGGTATATATGTCAGAAAATGTTTACATATATTATATATAAGTTGACTATTCAATTATTATCATGCATTATATTCAGTTTTTTGCTCTTTTTTATGTAGATGTTTAACGATCAAACATCATTCCCTGTTGAGGACTTTGTAGATCTTCATAAACGTTGGGCGTATATTCATAATGTGCTTAAGGGTCCTACTGTTTGATTTATAGATATGTTTGATATATTTTTGAGATTGAAGACGTAAATAACATATTGTGTTTGATGTAAATATTACTTTCGGCTTTTGATGCAAAATGTAGGTTATTTTTTATGCTCTTTATGCATGGTTAACAAAAATACATGTTGCTTTTAATTCTATGATA